GGAGGGGTGGGTTTTTCCATCCAGCTTCCAACACCTGCAGCCTCCCCTCCCTCCCTCATTCACACACATGTATTCCTTCCATGTGCCTGGGAGTTCTTGCTGGTTTCTGAGAGGATTTTCTCCGGTTTAAGGCTTCTATAGAAGTCTCTTGCATTGACGTTTGTATCAGCTACTGGAGGGTTTAAATGTGACCATGCTTTGTGTCCGTTTCTAAAATCCAGATGATACAACATTTGCACTGTATTCCTGCAAAAACAACTCACAATGTTCTGATCAGCTGATTCAACAGCTGTTTAAATGATACTGATACAATGTCATTGAGTGTTTTACTAAGTTGCCCTGGCATGACTCACCCCTCCTATACCTACTGTGTAGGTTGTTAATCACACCGTATAGCAGGGGTGGGGAACCTTTTTCCTCTCAAGGGCCATTTCAATTTTTTCAACATCCTCTGAGGGCCGTACAAATTATTGACCTCTGCTTAAAAATACTAAAATCACAGCCCATTCATTTGGCCTTTCTTTCATGCTGTGCAAAGAAAAAGCAACCTCTTAATCCAGATATCTTACCATGACTCATGCATGCACGTGCACGGTGTGGCATGACCACCAAAACAGAAAGATATGGACACAAGATGTGTGCAAATGTATTTAGTTTCCTATCCATCTGAACATGATTTAAGTGGGGAGGGACCTCACCTCCTCTAGGGGGGTCTGGGGGGCATGCTCCCCCGGGAAGATTTATTTTTAAATGTTGAAGTTAAAAGCATCAATCTGGTGCACTGAGAGCAACATTAGGAGATCTATGGATACATCTCTCAACACCCATATGAAACAGTACTGTAAGCAGATTTATTTTTTCTTTATGGATATTTTACAAATCACTCCCCTTTCAAACTGTATTCTTGTTTATTAATAACAACTTTTTTTTACTGTCATAGTATTTTATACCAGTTTTTCCTTTATTCTCTTATTTTTGTATAACTATAATGATCATATAAAGATGTGCCTTTACCTCACTGGTTGTAGAAAAAGCTTCTTATATTCGTTAGCATAGCTAGCTAACCAGATGCTAATAACAAAGAAGTTATCGACTGTATGACAGATGAGCAGATCGCCACTGGGCTTTCAACTAAAGACACAGCCACACAAAAACTGCGGCATGGAGCCTCCGTATCCTGTTAAACCCCGAGCCTGTTTTTCAGGTCTCAGGCTCGAAAATGACATTCCCAGAAATGACCATATCTTCCCTTCTAAAAGGGTTAAATTAATAATCTTTTTTCTCAAAGCAAGGTTACACCTGTGAGTTGTATGTAGAAGTGTCAGAATTAATATAAATGTTTTTATTTTAAAGTAAATTCAGATTGAACACAGTAAAACATTTTTAATTATTGTGTCCGTCCAAAAAGAAAAATATTACTTATAGTGAAAACCACCCTTGAATGATGGGATGGTAGACCAAAAGCTGTAGGAATCCAAACTACAACATAAAATAAGTACCCTGTATCAAGATTGATGCAACACAAGTGAAATGACCTTTTTTTTGACCTTTTTAGAGAGATTTAGCACAAAATAACCACTTCTGGGGTCATTTGGGTGGATTTTCCACATCTCTGGTCCCCCTTTGTCAATTTTGCTGATTGACATCTCTTTCTAACCGTCAGAGCCAATTGAATCGAGGGGAACTCCCACATACTCCTTATTTGGTCATGTGTGTGTGTGAGACTGCCGCATAGCCAAGACCGGAAGCTGCGATAACTCTGGTGGCTACCATTAGCAGCTAACTTTTACCCTCCGATTTTTACATAAAAATGGAATTATGGATTATAAATAAAAAAAATTATTACCCAGAAACATTATCAACCTATGGATTAACCGATTCAGCCGCGTTTTTTCTGGTTTTAATGCCATTGAACCAGTCTTTTGATCAGATTGACAGCTACGGTGAGAGGATCTCACGTAAAAGCTACGTAAAGATACGTGTTGTGATGTCTGTGTTTGCTTCCCCTGTCGCGAGTTCGGATCACTTAGTGATAATATATATACCTAAATAATCCGTGGAACCTCAGCTTTAATCGGATATATTGTATGTGCAGCTACGATAAGTAATAAGGGTATCTTTTATCTTGAGTTCTGTGCCAAAGTGCGTTAGCATTTTTCGCTCAGGGGTCAATTAGATGCTTCTTATGAGACTTGTGTTGTGTTTTGGTAAAAATGGTTTGTATCGTCAGTTAGCTGAGATCATTCCCGTTAATCTGGTATAACACATTAATAGGTTCTTAAATATTAAGATCCCCTGAGACTAGGGATGGGTATCGTTTGAAATTTATCGATTCCGATTTCGATTCCGGTTCTGCTTATCGATTCCGGTTCTTATCGATTCCCCGTTTCGATTCCAAAATTGTAAAATAAAGAGGTCAAACGTTTAGATAACAAAAATATATTTATTCTTAAAAGCTTTAACTGAAATTGTTACTAAAAAATATACATGCAATACAAATGTATTGCACAATAGCTGTGCTTTATTTTAACTGAGCTATGCCTGTGGCGAGCTATTAACAGGCATTACACTTTGCCTTTTCTTTTTCTTTTTTAGTGTAGTGGAGCCTCACTTCAGAGTGTTTACCGCGACCTATCTTTGGTGTTATGAAGTGACTGAGCTCGTGAAATGTCTACGGGAGGGCGGGGGAGCATCGCTGCGGGGCAACTGTAGACCTCTGTCGCCTGTCAGCGCAATTTATATGATGCCGTTTAAAAAAATGAAGGGCGGTGCCGGCCGTCAGCGTACCGAGCCGGCCGTCAACGGCCCGCTGACGACCGGCCGTTCTGTGATTCTCCAGGTCCGCCCTGTATTCCACCGAGTCACCGCAGCACCGCAATGCAGACGGACCCGCTGGAATACAGGGTCTACCGCGTTTAGGAACCGTTAAGCAGAACCGAAATTGTGTATTTTGTATGGGTACTCGGTACCCGGCATTTTCTTATCGGTTCTCATCTGGAACCGAGTTTCGGTTCCCAACCCTACCTGAGACACAGTGTCGTGAAAAAAAAAAAGGACCCGCCAAGGGGGCCCTTTCGGCTTAACAGGTTGGGTACTGCCATTTCTGAAGTGCCGGAGCGGCGTTCTGGTGCCCTCCGTCAGCACTACACCCCTGTCAGACGAGACCATAGACTGTGGGTGTTTCTCAATCGCGAGTAAAGCTGCTCCAGAGCCACTATTTCAAGCATACTACATAATTGAGTGCCGCCGAAGGACTGTTCCAATGTCCAGCATACTTGGAAATCTACCGAGCCCGGCGTACTTCCTTTGGAGAAATGTCGAGGCTGCACCTCTATGGGCTGCACATGTGTAGACTCCGCGGTCTTAAAATCCCCACAATGCTTTGCGCACGGACCATTTCCCCCAAATCTGTGGCGGGGCCTCTCATATGACGCACACCTCGGAAGACACCAAGCAAGCGTACTCGCGATTGAGAAACACCCTGTATATATAAAGGACGAGACATATACCACGTGATGACACGTTAGGCTCGTGTTGTGTTCAAGGACCCTGACCTTGGCCAGGAAAAACAGGCACTTGCTTGTTTAATTATTTTGCGATCTAGATTTCTTTAATTTTTTTCTTTTTTGCGTGTGTTTATAAATTACCTCGAGGGCCATACAAAAATGGTCTCGTGGTCCGTATACAGCCCGGGGGCCGGAGGTTCCCCACCCCTTCCCTATAGTAACACTTAATAATTATAATAGAAGTAGAGGAGGATATTGGTTAGTTATACAAAGCAATACAATCCATGTAATAGGTGGGGGGGGGGGGGGGTGTGGAGGATGAATCAATAAAACATTGTGACGCAGGGTAGAAAAGAAAACCTCTTTCATTTTACATTTCCTTAATGTTGCACAATTACACACCAAATAAGATTCCTATTATGTTGATAAACTACTTGGTAATGGCCTACATCAGGTAACATGGGTAGCCATGTCCTCTATTTATTTGAATCCAAACCATAGTTTTTTCCTAAAGCTAATCAAGAAGATTTGCCAAAACGCACCATTATTTTTGCCTGAACCTACATTAGCTTCTCTACTTTATGTTTCTCAATAGTAAAAAAAGATCACATGTTTAAAACTGCTGCCGTCCTTAGGTTTCAAATATCTGACAAGAACAGTCATAAATGTCCTTTGGGGGATCAAAGCAATCAGTCTATGCTGTGGTTTTCCTGTAGAGATTTGTGTGTAGATCACAACTAAAGTGTATCCCTGTCACGGATAAGAAAAATGTGTGTGAGGTGCCTCTTGTGTGTACCGTATATGCTTCTGGCATGATCCAAACCCTTTGTGTTTAATCAACCGGCTAATGTGTATCTTGAAGAGGAGAATTAAATGGGAGGTAAGGGCCTATCTGTGCAACATTAATGTGTGAACTGTGAAGGCTTTGAAGCTTGGGATGCAAAGGCATCAGCCTAAAAAAAGCACAACCAGGTGATAAAGGCTGAGAGCCGATAACCTGAGATAGCCTCTGCTGCAGGGACGTGCACAGACATTTGGAGGGGCTATTGCTCTAATCTGGAAAAAGGGCCTCCCCCCGATACAAAACACAAGACCTTTTGAAAATTGTAACTTGTTTTTAATGTAAAATAAACCAAACGATTATTACATCAACTAAATTGAATAGTAATTCACATCTCATGACAAAATAAGCTATGGCGACTACTTTCATTCAGTGTCTTGATTTTAAAAATGAAAACCAGGGACATTTTTTGTTTTGCGGTCCATATCTCATTAAAATATCTAATGTTAGTAACTATTAAAGACAAAATGGGGACAATTCTGTTCTAATGTAGTTTGACCATTGTAACTGCTGTGCAGTCCAGACATACTGATAAAATAGGGCTTCTAACTAATTACCTTAAATAAAATCACTAATTAATTAAACCAGTTCAATACGCATTATTCTTATTCTTATCATTCTTTATGAGCACAGTAACGGTAAGGTATCTAATTACTTATTTATTTAATATTCCATAACTTAATAACAGAGATGGTCAAACTAAAGTGCTAGACATGGCAGAAATCCTACAATGAAGCGGGACAGTGTTCACCCGTGAGAGGGCGATCTAGAAAAGAGAGCGATGTTGAGGGATGTTGAGGGAGTTTGCAGATGAAAATACAGAGAAAGACAGAAGCTCAATAACAAATAGGCTATATTTAGGTGTTTTTTTTGTAAATAACCGACGGTATCAAGAGGAAGTAACGTCCCCTGGATTGTCCCTTATACCCTAACTGCCATCAGACAATGTCTGTCTTGCATAGCACATTGCTGAAACAGGGAGAAAATAAATAAAAACATTTAACCTGTTTTTCAGGTCTCAGGATCGAAAATGACATTCCCAGAACAAATGACTATATCTTCACTTCTAAAAGGGGGAAATTAATAATCTTTTCTCTCAAAGCAATGATACACCTGTGAGTTGGCTGTAGAAAAGTCAGAATCAATATAGATGTTTTTATTTTAAAGTAAATTCAGGTTGAACATAGTAAAAAAAATGTAAATTATAGTTTCCGTCCAAAAAAAACCCTATACTAATAGTGAAAACCACCCTTGAATGATGGGATAGTACACTGATAATTCTCTTTCACTCAAAATCACTCCTTTTTTTTACTTGAATTTGCAAGTATTTTTGTATCTTCATTTTGACAAGTAGGCCTACATTTATATCATAGCACCAAGTAAATGTTAACTAAAGTAATGTGTTGACCTACAACCTGTGAAAAGCTAGTCAAATATACCTGGGCAATGTGAGTAAAGGTGGGCGACGCCCTCTATGACGTCAGAGGAGTTTGCGCACAGTGCAGGCATTTGAAAAAAAGCAGCCGGTTCCAGTTGAAGAGAGCATGGACCCTCGTCTAATATGAATACTCGTGGATTTTGAATCATGTAAGTATATTTTTGTACTTTATTAACTCTGTACATCCCTGTTAGTTTGTCAGCTTAATGTGGATATCAAACGAACGTTAACTAACGTCAGTGTTTCAGTTTAGTTAGCGTGCTAGCTAATTTAGCGTGCTTTCATGGACGAGGCACACACAACATGTAATACTTAGTGGTTTAGTAGTTGCTTCAAATTAGTCAACAGCTGGCGAAATTCACTGTTTTGAATACAAAATGTGGCAGTGGGGCATTAGTAGTTCAGAAGTGGTTTTTTTCACTTCGGTGGGTGGTGTTTGCGCTACATTTTCAAATGCTGCTCGGTATAAGCAGTGTGGCGACAAACTGAGTTTTCCTTTACTGTGGGAGTCAAGTCAATTCACTTCACTCACATGCATCCGACTGTGTGTGATGCACAATTGCACGTGGGCTTTTATTTCCTGTGTACACTATATAGCGGCACCAGATTCCTAAAAAAGGGTATGTCACATTCACTGCCATGGATGCTGCTCTGTGTAAACCGCCTGTGTGCCAGTCTGTGATGCGGTCTGTTTCACTGCAGCCTAAAGAAGGAGAGTGGTAATCCAGGGAGACTAGTGGGATAATAGCGACTTTATTAGAAGTTTAACTGTTGGTGTCTCCTTCTGTAGCGCGTTAAATTTACGTGAAGACAAATTCTGTGTTTCCAATATCTTTCTGTACTTACAGTTATTTGTGTTCGCTACAATAATTGACATGTCTGTTAAACAGCACCACGCTGAAGTTAGACGGAAGCCGCCACATCGTGATTCGTTCAGATGCGTCACGTGATGTGCTAAAACACTTCCTGGTTAGCTTTCCGCTGGAAATTAAAATCTCAAAATGGCAAAAGAACAGCGAAAAAAACATTCACAGAGAAGATGACAACAATTGTCACTTGCACGAAGCAAGGTTAGACAAAAAACAAATGACCCTGACTATGAAATACCGTCACGGAGTGCGTCGATGTGCAAGCTATTGTCCAAAGAACAAGAGAGTTTAGTTTGAGCCACACAGCAATCTTTAAAGGTTGTTTTCTCAAAATTAGTTTTTTTCTCCTATTCTGAATGAGAGATGTCCACTTCAGTAGCACTTACATACACCAAACCTTCCAGTTATATTCCTATCAATATTCTGAAGGTTTTTACAGAAGGGTTTGTTCATATATCATTCATAGCCTGAACATTGTATACCTAAAAACTAGAGATGGCTAATCCGGATCCTTTTACGGTCTTCTGAGTCAGTAATTGAAGAGATCCGGATCATACGAGTCCTTTGAGTCATATGAGTCAGCATCACCAAGTGCGTAGAAATCCTACCGGTGAAACCGAAAAGTTTTTGCATTTCACGGGCATATTAAACTAACGTTACATTAACCTCCGCGACACAGTGTCTTTTGCTTTAATACAAAATGTTGATCACAAAAATAAAGTTTGTTGCCATGTCTTTAAGACAGCAGTTTCAACTTTAAAGCTTGTACTTTCGGGGTCAACTTAATCCCATCCAGTCCGAGAAAAAGTTTCTGGAACAGCTCCAAAGTGTAGCGCAGTGTTGGGGGGGTATGCCAGGTTTAAGGCATAAATCAGCCCCATAAGCAGCGTGCATGCCTTGGCAGTACTGCTGCATCCTGGCATCATCTCTTTGCCTTCAAGCAGGAGGGCTGCATCCACTGGATCCTCTCCATTGGCACCATGGACAACCAGGATCTTCAGGACGTGTTTAGTTGCATCACTGCGGCTGTCCTCCTGCATACAATTTACAAGAAAAAGGAAGTGAGAAACAACTGAAAATAGAATGCAAAAGTGACTTCATTATCAGGGCAGAATGAACACATGTGCTAAAGACCATCATTAACTCTGAGACCCTAGGGCCCTAATCCGGACCGGCCAATTTTACTGTCTTTCAGAGGCTCTAGAGCAGTGGTTCCCAAACGGTGTGCCGCGGCACACTGGTGTGCCGTGAGGCAAGTCCGGGTGTGCCGTGGGATTTTGTGACAACCATACGTTATTATTGCAATATACAACTACACAAAAATTATTATTTTTTAATTTACTATATCAGTACTTTGTAGGTTTATATGTACGTAATCTGCGCGACTTGCGCGTCCACATCTCCATGTGCAGTGCTGCATAAACATGGCTGAGTCAGCGATAACTCTCGAGGGGTGGAGGTCTGCCCATTATTTTGAGTTCGTCCGAAGAATAGACAGGAATGTGACGGTGAGGTGCAAACTGTGTCCAGGCCAGAAGCTGTTATCCACTGCTGGAAACACCACGTGGTCAAACCTCAACAAGCACCTGCAAAGAACACATGCTAAGGTGAAGCTACCGCACAGCTATTTGTTGTTTGTTTATATCACGCAGTCTGTTCTTCTTCTCTGTCTTCCGGTTGTTGCCTGTTTTGAATGACAAATACACACTACCGCCGCCTGCTGGTAAGGAAAGTTATTGCCACTCACGCATGCGCAGTTCGTACGTGCTCGGCGAGTAAAGTAACGAGTTACTTTATGTAGATAGTAACGAAGTAGTGTAATATATTACTTTTTTAAAAGTAATATGTAATATATTACATTTTTATAGTAACGACCCAATCTCTGGAGTTGGTGTTCTCTACTCTGGTTTACATGAAGAACAACAGGAGGTCACGGCTCTCTGTTGAACAGGACTTGCGAGTGGCCCTCTCCTCAGTGCCACCAAGGATTAAAAAATTCTGCGCGCCCCGACAGGCACATGTATCTCACTAATTTGTAAGTCGGCAAAATATTTACAATAGCACATGTTTCAATGCTGATTGCTGAAATGTTACATTTATAATTTGTAGTTCAGGACCATGGACAATGCAGCTTCCTTGCATTGACAGTTCTCTTTGCTGAATTTCTGCTGAGTTTCCTTTGCCTCATTTTTTATTTTGTGACCTGTCTGGTTTAAATGAGTGTGTTGCTGCTTTGATGAAACCTAATTTGATAAAGTTTCAAATTAATTTCTGAAATATTTCGTTAATAAATATTTCATGAGTAATATAGTTGTCTTTGTCACATTTTATTTGGCATTAGTAAATAATTATGCACATTTACAGATATTTTACATGATATGAGTTAGGGCTGCACGGTATTGAAAAAAACTGACATAGCGATTTTTCCCCCCCCTGCGGTATATATTGCGTTTTTTTTAACCTGTTAAACCCCAAAGTCCCGGCGGGTACTTTACTTTTTTTTTCACGACAGTGTCTCAGGGAATCGTAATATTTAAGAACCTATTAATGTGTTATACCAGATTAACGGAAATAATCTCAGCTAACTGACGATACAAACCATTTTTACCAAAACAAAAGACAAGTCTCATAAGAAGCATCTAAATTACCCCTGAGCGAAAAATGCTAACGCACTTTGGTACAGAACTCAAGATAAAAGTACCCTTATTCTTTCACACACAGTGACGTCACAGCTACCCACAATGCAACGCGCGCCATATATTTTTTTATAAAGACGCCATTTTTCTGGAGGTGCAAAAATCCTGGCAATGCTAATATAAACAGCTAGCTAGCTTATAGAGCGCACTAGGTTTTTTTTCTGAATTAACGACCGAAGAAATCGCTGCATGTCTTCGGATTACATCTCTGGACTTGAGGGGTGTGCTCTAGGTCGTTACCAGCGTAAACTAGAGCTGTGTGGGTTGTTAGATGTACAATGTATGGAATTACGACCCTCAAAAGTGGCCTTCGGTCGATTTTGGCTGCATCTACGTCTATCTTCTGGAAACACCAGGTGAATACCCCACTCGTCACAATAATATTATCATGCCAATGCATATATGTGGTATTTTAGAGTTGACTATATTGATTAAGGCAATCGACCCATGATATTCTGTATGCACCTCGTGTGAAATGGTTGATACCGGAAGTACGGTGTCGCCCTCGGCCCAAAACCCATATGTGTGTGTGAAAGAATTGTCCTCCTGTGCCTCGCTCATTTGTTACCAGTGTTTTGATGGTCTGCAAACTAGCGGGGCGGGGCCTGCTGTGATCTGATCAAGAATGATTGTGATTGGTGGTTTGCTGTGCATGCAGGGGAAGTTCTACACACACCAACACATGAACAAATAAGGAGTGAGAGTGACGCGTAGCCAAAACCGGAAGCTGCATACACTCTGGTAGCTACCATTAGCAGCTAACTTTTGTGCTCCGATTTTTACATAAAAATGGAATTATGGATTATAAACAATTGCTTCAAAGCCACAGATACATTATCAACCTATGGATCAACCGATTCAGCCGCGTTTTTTCTTTCTCGTTTTAATGCCATTGAACACGTCTTTTGATCAGATTGACAGCTACGGTGAGACGATCTCCCGTAAAAGCTCCGTAAAAGGTACATGTTGTGATGTCTGTGTTTGCTTCCCCTGTTGCGAGATCGGATCGCTTAGATACTATACTTAAATAATCTGTGGAGTCTCAGCTTTAATCGGATATATTGTATGTGCAGTTTCGATAAGTAATAAGGGTATCTTTATTTTTGAATTATGTGCTAAAGTGGTTAGCATTTACATTTTTTTTAATAAAACCGCACGTCCCTGCGGTGTGAATACCGCGCATTATCGCCATGACACGGTATATCGTTCAGCCCTAATATGAGTGATAACACGTGTTATAAGGGCTATTTTGCACAATAGGTGTGCCTTGAGATTTTTACTTGTCCTTTGGTGTGCCTTGGGCACAAAAAGTTTGGGAACCACTGCCCTAGAGGGCTCAGTTCTGAAGCTAGAGTATAATTATAAGACATTTTAGAAATATAATTCTAAGAAATGTTAAGTAAGACGAAAATATTTTAGCAATGGTAATAAAAAAGTATTTTTTTGACATGAGAATACCAGCAGTGGCCCCAAGCCAATTTGTGTTGCATCAATAATGTTGCAGCTAGTAAACGTAGACATTATTTTTGACTACTTTATATACTGCAGGGTAGCTTAATCTATAATAATACATCATCATTTAGAATTTGATTTATATTTTTGAACTAATCTCATGGTTCAAAGTAACTAATGCTGTCAAATAAATGTAGTGGAGTAAAAGGTACAACAATGTCTAGTGGAGTAGAAGTATAAGAAGCATAAAATGGAAATACTCAAGTAAAGTACAATTATCTCAAAATGATACTTGATAATGAGTACAGTACTCAAGTAAATGCACTTAGTCACATTCCAGCTTTATACTGTGAATGATTGAGCTCCAGGTCGCATTTTTAGGTTACGAAGTTGACTTTATATTGGAGGGGGGGAACACTTCCAACATTTTCTAAATTACTGACAATTACTGTTATTCAGTTATTGAAAAAGAAAAAGCCTACTACTAACTAACATGATAGACATACGCTGTTGAAACTCTGAGAGCCGTTCAAACAAAATAACACTGCCATCTTTTAATCTTCACTTGTGGCGTCGGTTTAATTTACATTAGCCGTGTGTGTTTACCGTGAAATAGCTTCATTTGGGATTGCTTGGTCCATGTACGCTTCGTTCATTTATTGATGGTAGAAACGAGAAAACAGCGGTAGCGCTCGGTCTAACCTGTGTAACGGCAGTAACATGTTTGCTGGTCCGGACGGCTTGCTCCGTCTCCCGGCGGTGGGGAGGAAGAGCCAAGGGTTTGAGTCCTTTTCTCGTGTCTGCCACTAACGTTAATACATTAAACTACTTTCAAAACGCACAGGACAAGCCCTCTGGCCAACTCGACTTCTTCGTCCTCTCATGTTGGGGCAGACTGGCGCTACAGTGACTTGCTATCGCCTCTCGAGTAACAAGTGGTACTACAAAGCAGGACATGCCAGGGCTAGTCAGTTAGCATGCTAATTTCAGTAGCTAATATATCTATAGATATTAGAGGTGTAGTGGCCCATCCACATGGCGGCGTGCGTTGGCGCTTCAACGCTTCTGCCCATTCACTTGAATGGGGTGACGTCACACTTTGCCGAACTGCATTGTGGGAGTGTCGCTTCGCTTTGCTCGCGTTCCTCGCTTCAAAAGTTGAGCAATGTTCAACTTTTGAAGCTTCGACGGAAGCGCCAGCCAATCAAATCATATGCCAGTACAAGCTCTAGCCAATCAAACCGCGTGCTTGTGTGTCCGGGGCGGGAGATTCATGTGATTGGTTGTTGGTCGAGCTTCAGACACGCCCGCCGGCAAGCTTCAACGCACGCCGCCGTGTGGACGCTGCGTAACGGTATCCGTATTCGTCCCGAACCATCACGGTTCGGACATCACGGTTCGGTACATGCAATCACACAATGAATACGCCTTTTTTTTACGAGTGGGAGAAAAGTCTGTCATTCAGGGCAGTATCCATTACACTATATATAATCCAGGGAGCAGTATTGCGCCTAAAAGCTGTTTGCCAGCCGCCCTTAACGACAAATGAAGAAGAAGAAAACACAACAAAACGAACAAAATAAAAGAAGAAGAAACGTTAGTATTGCGAGTTCAGATAACACACAGGAGCTAGAAGACCCAACTGCTTCTTTTAAATCAGCTGTGTGGGAACATTTTGGGTTCCCTGTGTACTACAACAACGATGGAGTGCGAGTGAAGGATCGGACGAGGACGGCGTGTTCGACAGCGGTGCGGTATGCTAATAGTAACACACGCCAAACATGCTAAATCATATCGGAAGACATCACCCAGATTTGGCAATCACCGGAGCCCGGCAAAAGACAACAGCAGTTCAACAACTTATCCCCGCTGCTTTTAAGAAGCCA